TGATTGCTTATTTTCAAATACATCTATAAAAAATTCAAAGCGCATAAAGATGTATTATTGAAGTAAGGCGATCTTTTGATAATCCTACTTGTTATTTTCATGCATACCTCAAAAAATTACATGAACTAAGATATTTGGAAAACTACTAATTCTCTGTATTCTTCAACATATTATGAAAATCAAATGGAAGCATCAAAGAGTAAACGCATACCATATTTTGACGTGGTTGACTTATAGTTCTGAGCCAATAATGAGAGAATCAAATGAAGTATTCTATCTTTGGACAGTTTGTCCATTCTGCTTTCATTAGAGATGGCCACAATAGATGATGGTTCTCTGGACAAATTCTGACTAGATTTGGGAGGTTTTCCAATCTGAAAATTTCTAAAAGTGGAAGCACTATCCTAGTTTCCATTCCATCACATATTGATGTTGCTTCACCAAATATAAATTTCAACTGAGGAGCATCTATTATGAATAGAGATTTTAATTGTGTAAACCCTTGAACACAAAAGCTTGGGCAAATAGATTCTAATTGGTTAAAATTCCTCACAGAAAGAATTTCCCATTTTGGGAATATCGGATCCTCCTATGCGTCAACAATACCATCCTCTCCCTCAATTACATGCTTCAATTCATGACATTCATTTATTGAGAGTTGTTCTAGCGATAGCAAAGTGCAAGCAACGGAGATAGTGAAGAGGGATGTCAACATCAGACAGGTGAAAATGTTGAGGTACTTAAGGTCTGTTTGGTATGAAGGAAAATGAGAAGAAGGAAGGGAAGGAAAAATTTTATTAAGTTCGATTTAGAAAATTGAAAAAGTGGGGTTACAAGCCTTTAATTAATTTTCATTACTCTTTTATGTTACTTTTTCCCTTTATTAAAATTTCAAAGCCCTACTTCTCTAATTTTTTAAATAAATCTCATTAAAATTTTTCTTTTCCTCTCCTCTATTCAATTTCTCTCACACCATACAGTACCTAAGTTCCGGAGGGATTAGTAATTAAGATTCATCTTCGCATACAACCCGTCTCTACGATCCAGTAATGTTTTCTATCTCAGATGGCTAGTGGCGTAATACATTGATGTGATAATGCAGTCTAGCCCAAATATATTCATTCTTTATTTGGGCTGGCACAAGGGTGAGTTTAGCCTAGCCCAAATGCACATTTTTTTCAATTTTTAATATTAATTATTTTTTATTTTTATTAATGTTTTCTTATATAATTTGTTGATCTTATGATTATCTGATAACTCTCTATTTTTAATATATTGAAAGAATATTTTGAGTGATTTTTGAAGAGTTATCAATAGGATTTTGGATGATTTAAAAGAGATTTGAAAAGAAATTAATTGTGAGCATTATTTGGGGAATTTTCTTGTAAGTACCATAGTTTGAAATTAATAAAAATAATTTATACTAAGTTTAAAATTTAGTTGATTTTATCTTGTCTTATTTTAATTTCTTAGAGTTTATTCCTTTCTCTTTTATTTTCTTTTTCAGTTTTTTTCCTTTTATTTGTTTTATTTTATTTTCTCTCCTTCCTCAGCTTTCACGCAACGCACCGTTTGGAGTCAAAGGGAGCTTGGAACAACGAGGAGCACGGGCTGATTGTGAAAAGCTGGACGCAGCGTTTTGGAAGAGAAGGGTTCTGTTTTTGAAAGGGAGGCCGCCAAATGAGGGAAGGGGCTGGTGCTCGTTGGAGGAACACAGGACGGCGCCGAACTGTTGTGGAAGAAGGGGAGCGTACCATTCTTTTGCTGGAGCTCGACGGAGACAAGCAAGGAAGAGCTGGTGGATCATCTTCTTCATCTGAAAGGCGCCGTGCTGGTGTCTACAAAAGTACCTGGTTCTGGTTCAAGGGAGAGAAAAGCTGGTTCCGGGTTGAAAGAAAGGAGCCGAACTGGTGTAGTGAGGCTGTGTTTTCGACACTGTTCGGATCATCTTCTCTGCTGGTGGCCAACTGGTTCTGCAGGAAAATGGTGACAGCAATGAGCTTGAGAGGACGAGTTCAGGCGAAGGCTTGAGGAGAGGAGATCACCAGCAGTGTTCTGTTCTTTTCCTCCTTTAATTTCGGTATGAATTTTGAATCTGAATTTATTGTTGCTGACAATGATTATATTCATGTGTAGCTAAGTTTCTTTACGGTCTAGAGGAACTATGAACTTGTTAGTAGGTTGAGCTTGGTTTTCACTGAATTGGGGATGTTTAATGTTAAAGTTTGGTTACTTAATCTTATTCTTTATTTGTCAATTTGATAACTGACCACCATTAATTATGAGTTTGAGAATTTAAATTTTTCTTGACAAGGGAGATCTTAATTAAACTCTTAGATTAAGTAATATGGGATGGATGATAATCTAATTTGTGATTAGGATAAAAAATATACTTAATTGCCCTGTATAATTGTGATGAGTGAGACCGAATTGTTTAGCCTCTTAAGTAATTGTGTGTGAGATTACATAATTAATTTAAGAGAGGATTATAAGTGAACGATATGCATTTGTAGCTAATTGAACTCTAGATTAACAAAAATTAACATTAAAACTAATCAATCAGTGAAACAAGGTTTAAGAACTAGTAAGGGATTAGTAACTCTAGGTTGTTCTATTTAATATTTGCTCTAGTAATCTTGAGAAAGCTTTGTTTTGTTTTGTTTTAATTTCTTTTCACTTAATTTCATTAAATCCTGATTTTCTCAACTTAAATGAAACAAGAATTTTTATTGCCTAATCACTGTTAACTGAGTTCTCTGTGGGATGGACCTTGATTTGTCACTATCTATTTTTGTGATTCGTACACTTACAGTGCATCTTAATATTTGGTAGCATCATTATCATAATGATTTATTTTTTGTGTTTTTCAATTTTTGTAATTTGATTTAAAATTTTAATTTGATGTTTTAGACTCAATATTATATGAAAATAAGGGATATAAATGTTAATATATAATTCCAAAAATGATTTTTCTGTATCGCAATATTATTTTTTTAAAAGTGAATGCTTTTGAATGATAACAGTTACATTTTTATTGATAAATAAATTATTTTGATATTTTTAATAATTACTTTGAAAGAATAATTTAGAGACAAGTGTCCACCTTAACTTTTAATAATAATGTAAGGATCTAATAAGTGACATTAGTTCATCATGTCCAAATTAATTTCAGATTTTCTCAAAACAGTAGCTTTTCCTTAGGAGAGTTAATAACTTAATATGGGCAGGATAAGTTAAAAAGGTCCATATGATAATGGGTTGGCTTTTAACCTATCCTAACTCGTTATGGGAGTCAATGGGCTAGCTAGCCAACCTGTCGACTATTATTTACGTTTTTTTAAAAAAAATATTTTTTATTTTTAAAATTTTTTATTCAATATAAATAAAATATAATAAAAAAAATTTTTTCCTTTAAATACTTGAGTTAAAACATCAAATAAATGATATTGGTATTTTTTAATTTTTAGATAGGATATAAAATATAATAATACAATTATGACAATTAATAAAATTGAAAAAAAAAATAAATAAATGCGGGTTAACTCATTGGCAGGCTAACCCATGACAAGTTATAGGTCTAGCAATGCGGATTGAAATGACTTGTTTACTAGCAGGTTGGCTAATATGCTATTTTTGGCAGGTTAGACTAGCTCTACTTTTGCTTAGAAAAAATTATGAAACATCCTCCATTAAACATTTTACTGACGAGAAGGATGTCATAAATTTTATTACATATATAAAAACTATTGATACTCTGCAAATTTTTATACACGACATATTAATACTTCATAAAAAGTACTAATACTTTAAGGAAAAAAAAGTATTCATAAAAATTCATAAATTTTGCGCCACAAAAAAATATTGCACTACTGAAAAATGAATGAATGATCATTCATCTGTTGGCAAAAGTGTTAATTAAAACTTGAGAAAGTAGTATTTTTTTAAGTAGACAACAAATCCAAGTATTTAAATAAAAATGAGATAAATGAATGCCTTCTGCAATGTTGATCGCATGCCATCATCATTCAAATGAAGCAGACTGTACAAATTATACGCCATCACCGTCACCATCACCATCATCAGCACAACGATCATGATGACTTCGTATTTTCGCTGCGTGACTGCAGAATTATGAGAAAAATGGGATATATTTAGCAGAGTAAACAATAGATCTAAGGAAAACATGCGGCATTTGTCCAAAAACAAAGAAAAACAAACTGTTTCATCCTGCAGTTCTTCCAAAATGTGCACATCAATTACATCTTTCTGAGAAGAAAATGGATAGATCACGGAGGAGACAGTATATAAATAAGTTAAGGAAGAATCTAATGACAATAATTCTCATTAATGCAGCCGTATATTTGTGTTATTTGAGTAGTAAATAACGTTAAATCTGTTGTTATTAGTTGTAAATTTGTATTATGCCGTAAGCCTGCATTGTGTAAGTTGTAAATATTAAAAGCATTCTAAATAATTAATTTGTGAATTTGACCCTTTACTGTAATTCTTTTTATAAATGAATATAAAATTCAAGACACAAAACTTTGTATGGTGTGCTATGCCAGAATTTCTAAGTGTGCTCAATCAAAAAATATAACGCCAGCAAAAAGAAAAAGAAGAAATTCCAAAAGAAAAAAAAAACAGAACGATCTAAAGTCAAATGTGCGCACCTTTGAAGAGCCGCGAGTGTGGTTTTGGAGAAGATAGGGCAATCGCTAATAACTGGACGTGTCAGGTTTGGAAGTATGTTGTTGTAAAACCCTTCCTCTTGGATTTCGAGTTCACAGTTAAAAAGTCCCTTCAATTCAGAGCACTCAGCAATCAACAAACGACCCAACTGTGGAAGATGATGTTGAGTAGAGGGCGGAGAGGGGAAGAGCCATTTCAACTTTCTGCATCTAAAGATAATAAGAGTCTGAAGTTGTGGGAAGCCGAAGGAATTTGGAAAGTGATAATGCTTTTCTTCTAATGGCATTATTTCCTCCATCTCTTCGCATTCTTCAATGTCTAGATGTCTCAAACATGGTAGGCTTATGATCATAGCGCTTGGGAACATACACTTTAATTTTCTACATTCACTCACACATAAACTCTTAAGATTTTGGAAGACCATGAAACAGGGACCCTCCCATATAGATACGAGGTTCATTGAATCCTTCAAATACAAGTACTCTGCTCCTGAGATCACCACCGTCCCTTTTTCTTCATTTACTGGCAATTCTTTTTCTTCATTTGATGAAGTTTGAACATTTGAATTTTCTGTTGAAACCTGTGACAATTGCAATTTCATTTTTTTAAAAAAAAGAACAAATTTATTCACATTAATCAAATTTAGATCATTCAAAGTTTCTTTTTTAAAACTCGGATTCAAAAAAATTAGATACATTGTAAGCATACCAAGCAAACTCCTCGCTCTTTACTGATGCACAAATGTTTATATATCATCAGTGTATGGTTCCAGGCAAAAAAAAAAATCATAATTGATTTAGTTTAACTTCCTATAAAATATATTTTTTTTATGAAGATAGTTTTTGAATCACCACGCACGCAATTATTCTTTCACTGCCTTTTTTTTTTTGGGTGAAATTTCATAGTCACAATTTTGACATGAAAAATTTTAAAAGAATATATTTAATAAATATTTAAAAAAAAACGTGGAATGAAGTCTCACAACACACGCATATATATTCCATATAATTTCATCCATTGTGATCTCAAATTGAAAGAAAATCTATTTTTGTCCATACATCAAGTATTTTTTTTTTCTTCACGTCCTTGAAAATCTTAGTAATTTATACGGCTACCAAAATGATATATATGATGATTCTAATGACATATATTCCGTCTAATTTTGAAGACTCTAAATCAAGATGATATGGAATATTCATTCATACCGATATTGTTCCTAATTGTTGAAGAGCCTTTCCTAGAGTTGAATCCACAAATGTGGGGCAGTTTGGTATGCTGATGTAGCTCAGATGCGCCTGCATCTGTAACCCTCGACAAACACTCTTCAAATTTGGCAAATTTATTAGCTGTATGATCCTCAAGCTGGAAAGCACAATTGTGTCATTGTAGTTCGAATCACCTTCACTGCTATGTCTAAAAATCACCTCCAGTTGATTAGCCTCAGCTATTGACAAAGAGCAGAGTTGTGGAAGAATAATACCCGTGGACGTAGAGAAGAGTCTTTTGAGCTTGTTGCACCTCTCAACCTTCAACTTTCTTAGTTCTGGGAAGTGAACTTCAGCACTGGACATGATCTGATGTTCCTCATTTGTTGCAATTATTTCCTCCAGTTCTTCACAATCAGATAAAATTAGGGAAGCCAATTTGGGAAGGCTGGTGTGGACAATGGTACTCCTTGAGAACAAAAACTTCAACCTTTTATTGTGAGTTACTTCTAAGGAATGAAGATGTTGAAAGCTCAAAACTTGCGTGGGAACAAGACCTCCCACCATTTGTTTTTCTGATCTCAACATTCCTGAGTTGTTGGTTTCTTCTTCCTCATCATCACCAATCACTCGCCAGTTTTGTTCAACTCTAGGACTTCGAATATCAAGCTCTCCAGCATTCAGAACAGAAAGCGGAAGATTCAGAGCCTCGTTATTATTTAATTGGTTGTATTTCAACACATGCTCCCTTACAAGTCCCTGCATATAACAGAGGAGTGAAAAGTGGGCGACATAAGATGTTCTAAGTTCCATGAAAAGGTTATGAAAAGAAAGAGATTGCAATACCTTCAACATTTGTACCTATTTGTACAAGTTAAGATATGCAGTTCTCAATTTGGTAACTTCGATTTGTATGTAGGAATATATGATGTCTTAGTCACTTGCTTGTCTACATGCTAGAATCATGTTAAAACTGGAAATATATAATGCTTTGCATTGCTGAATTCCTTCTTCTCTTCAACTTCTATGATTTGAACTATCATTGATTGTGAGATAACATGGTAAAAGAAAAATTACGTCGTATTTGTATCGGCGGTAAGAAAATAGTCACAAGTTGATAAACTAAACCGTAGTTCGTTTCGTTTCTTTCATGAAATGCAGAATGATTCGTTTTTTGAAGCAGCTTTTTGTATGTAGAGATGTCTTGTTCATATGCATGTGAAAGGAATGGATGTATTAGACCGCAGTTCATGAGCTTAAATGAACAAAACATTAAAACAAAAAAAAAATGGAAGTATTAAATATTCAGCTCCCATGAATTTAATTAATATTGCAAGGGAAAAAAACATAGAAAAATATTTGCAATATGGAGAAATACAAATGCAGAATATTTGTTACCTTTTTTGTCCAATGAATAGATGTACCCATAATTGGCATAAATTTTGGACATTCATGAACCTTAACTGTGTAAAACTCCCCTGTCTGAAACTTGAATCCTTGGCAGACATTAACGAGTCTTGGCAAGTTGTCTAGTTCCAGATATTTCATGTTTGGGAATGTAATCTCCTTTTCACTACTATCAATGTGATGATCTTCAATATTTGAGCATTTGAAAATTTCTTCCATTTGAGAAGAATTTGATATGGTTAGAGTGCTTAGCTGTGGAAGCATTGAGGCAGTAGGACCAATCATAAAAGATAAAACGAATTTAAGCTTGTTGCACTCAGAAACTACCAAACTCTTCAATTTCGGCAGACAAGATTCAGCATTAGATAGATTTTTCTGAGTCTCTTCATTCTCCGAAAAGATCGCCTCCAACTCCTCACAGCGAGATATGGCCACAGAAGTTAACTCTGGAAGACTTTGAAACATATGAGCAGAAAAGACAAATTTCAATCTTGCATGATTTCCCAAGACTAGTTCTTTAAGGGATTGAAATGTTGGATATTGTTCTTCAACGCCTGCCTTATAGAGGGAAATGGATTCTACTCCACAGTTATGAATTTTAATACTTTCTATAGTTGTCACCGACTTGTGTTCTTCATTCCTCCGGTGGCTCTCAAGTTCCTGCAAATCCTTTGTGAACGGAAAAAAAGGGATAAAAGAAAATGACATCTATTAACATAATTCCTTTAAAAAAAAATGTGAATGAATTAATTGACTAACTCATCTCTCAAAATCTATTCAGTTGAACATTATTTGCTATTTTGTCGATGATAAAGAAAATATTAGACGTCTAAACAAAGATATCTTTTTACATAAACTTAAAAAAAAAAAAAAGCAATTTCAACTTTTTTTTTTTTGGCAAATCAAATTACAATATGTGGGGCAAACACGTACCAGATTTGGACAATCCTTCCATTCTATTGTCTTTATAGATGGCCACCTTAGATGATACCTCTCTGAGCAAATTCCGACAAGGTTTGGAAGATTTGTTAGTGTGAGGTATTCCAAAAGAGAAAGAGCTATTTGAGTCTCATCTTGATCACGCAGTGGTTGTTCTTCATTAGCATTTTCACTGAACACAAATTTCATTTGAGGAGCATTCGTTATGGATAGACGCTGCAATTGTACAAACCTTTGAGCTAAAAAGACTGAGCATACAGATTCTAATTTGCAGCAATCGTCAACAAACAAAATTTTCAATTTTGGGAATCTCAAATTCTCCCATGCATCACCACCACCCTGTCCTTCTATTACATGCTTCAGTTCACTGCACCTTTCTATTCTAAGCCCTTGTAAGGACAGCAAAGTGCACACAGCAGAGACAGGGAAGAGAGATGTCAACCTCGGACAACCAAAAATATCGAGAAACTTAAGATTGCCTATGTTGCAATCAGCAGGGAATATATGGAGCAATTGAGGGCAACTGGATATACGTAGCCTTTCCAGCTTTTGGAACAAGCTAAAAGAAGAAAGACCACGATGTAGTTGTTGAAGATTATCCATATATCTTAGCACTAGCTCATCCAATCTTGGGACAATGGCATCTTCATGAGCTTTAATTTTGTCAGTAATGCATTCCATCTCTGAACACCTTGTAAGATAGAGTTTAGATAACTCATTCATGCCTCCAATAGCGTGAACAACATTAGGCATGAAACTTCTGCTGCCTCCCTCAAGCTCATGAAATTCAATTGCAGTCGCTATTTGTGCAAGATCCTTGATTCTTGCACCTAACATGGAGATATTTAACTGACCCAAGCATAAATATCTTGTGCTTTCATCATGAGATATCGACTGTATTTCATGCCTCCCAATTTCCAACCTATATCTTCTCAATTTCATCGAAGTAGTGGTGGCCGCAAGGTATTCATAGCAATTTGCATTTTTTGAGTGTCGAAAATGCTTGGAAACATACAACTCTTCTAACTGTGAGCACCTTCCTATTACTTTGTAACAACATTCACCTATCTTACAATCTGACAAATCTAACAACTTCAGCTTGTTTAAATTTTCAATTCCATTTGGCATTCTTTCAAACATACTTCTTTGCAGGTCAAGAATTTCAAGTCTTGCAAGGCTTACCACAAAAGAGATGTCACCTAAATTGCAACCTTGCAACCGCAAAGTTCGAAGATTAGACAAGTGTTGGATTGATTGAGGTAGTAATAGTCTAATCATGGGCCTAAAAAGGACGGACCTAATAATCAACGCCTTCAGTCCTTCAATACCTTCAAATGATGCATCTGAGATATCCAAGAGTCCTTGACAATGTAACAACAGAAACTCAAGCTTTGGAGCATCCAATTGAGAAGGAAATTGAAAGAGTTTATTGTTCTTATACCATGAAGATACAGCATAACAATTTTTCACCACTTCATCAGCAAACAATTCATTCAATTCTTTTCTACAATTTACCTTAATGGTACGATCCTCTTCAGATGCTTTCCACAGTGCAAAATCACGAACCACATCATGCATTATCACATATTTTTGTGAGTTTGTGTTGAAGTTTGAAGAATGCATCAACAATGAGGAGTTAATGAGATAATTTATAGTTACTTTAACTTGGCTCCTTGCTATTTCAAATGAGTCTACATCTTCACATAGACCTAAACCCACTCCATATCTGAAAAGGTCTTCAACACCAATATTATGATCTTCAGGAAACATAGCACACATTAACAACAACAACTTGGCTTCTCGAGTTGCCAAATTATCATAGCTTAGTTTAAGACAAGTAAAAGCATCCCTTACTCCTTTATTCACATTGGTTGGCTTCGCATTCCTCAACTGATACAACATTACCTTCATATCATCAACTCCTTTTTCTTTCAAGCAAGTTCCCACAGCGACAATTGCAATGGGTAGGCCCTTACATTCCATCGCAATTTGTCGTGCTATATCTTCTTTAGTAGCATCGCTGACATTAGCATGAGTTTGAAACAAAGTCCAAGCTTCATCTTCTTTTAACAAATTAAGTTGAATCCTCTTTTGGCATTCCATCAAGATACATACATCAAGACTGCGTGTGGTTAGGACAACTTTGAAACTTCTTTGATGATTTCCCCCCATGGGAATCCCTATATCCTCAAGATTCAGCACAGCCCATAGATCATCCAGTATTATCAAAATTCGTTCTTCACTTTGTAATCGTAGTGCTATTCTTTTTGCTCTTCCCGTTTCAGATTCTTCCTTCAATTTGAGCCCCAACGCATCGGCAATTTCACCTTGAATTTTTTTTGTATTTGGGCTTTGAGAAATTGCAGTGAACACAACTCGATTAAAGAGCCGTGACTCCTCGGCTTTCTTTCCCACTGCTCTCATCAAGGAGGTTTTCCCTGACCCTCCCATGCCCCGTATCCCAATCATGGAGCTATCATCATCTTGCAATGCCTCCCACAGCTGATCAAAAGCTATTTGTGTAGAGTTGAAGAACCTGAAGTTTTGAGAAGAGCGATATTCTATATTTGGAGGAATACTGGGATGGGAAACTTGACTGAAGCAACCACACTTTGTATTTAGATCAATCATCCTCCGTGCTGTCTTAGCCAGCTTTTTGCAGAGACAATATCTCCTCCAAGTAGGACACAACCCTCGAAGACAGCCATTGTTGGCCCTCAGTTCTTCCTCCAATTTCTCCAGCTCTGCTATGAGGCACTCCACGTCATTCTTCCACGTGTTAACCTCGTCATCAATCCTCTCTGTCCTGTTGATGGCCTCTTGGACAAGTTCCTGCACCCTCCCTTGCTTTAGGATCAGCTCCTCCTTTCTGATCTCAACATTTCTGGTGATTTTGCCGACACAGAACCAATATTGCAGATGCTGTAAAGTTGGATGCACCAAATATTCAGCAAGTTTTGCCGCTACCGACACTCCCACCTCTGCCATTTAATATAAATAGAAACCTGAAAGGAGAGCCATTCATGATCATCAAATGATTAACTCGAGATTTCAGAAATTGGGAGTAAGTGACAGCTCCAATTCCTACCACTGATACTGAGAATTGAGAGTGCGACGGCAGATAGAAACTTAAGTATAACAAATAGAAGACGCTGATCAGAAAATGAGAGACTAAAGAGGCAAATAAAAAGGGGTTTTGATGTTCATACCAGCTAAGCTATGTTCAGATATTAGAGTAACAAAACTCATTGTTTTGTGATTCTTATTTTTCCATAGCCGATTAATGCAAAGGAGGAAGAAAGAAAGCAAAAAAAGTATTTTGCAAATGATAGCTGCAATTATTAGCAACTAACATGCTTACTCATACTTTGAGAATTGAGAGAATGCATGGAAAAACAAATAGGACAATGTTATAACGACATATACAAAAAGAAACATGTGAAAGAATAAAGTGGGAAAAAATGAGTGTCTGAATCAGGAGAGGGACATTGCTTCATACCACTGATGAACTTGAACTTTCAGTATTGGCTTGTAGATTTTCAAGAGTAAGAACAGAATTGCACTGGTTAATAGCAACCTGAAGCAAGAGTTATTCATGATCATCAAATGATTAACTCAAGATTTCGTTTTGAGGAATTGAAGCTTCTTAATTAGGTACTTCATCTTTCATGAAGATAGCATCAAGATGAAAAGAATGACTAACACAAAAGAATTCAAAGATATCATAGATAGATGGTTATGTAAGGAAAACAAATAGAACAATGATAAAAATAAAAAACAGAAAAGGAAACACCCGAAATATTAAAGTGGGAAAAAATGACACACTGATTCAAGAGAGGGATATTACTTTGTACTGTGATAAATTTTGCACTTTCAGTCTTGGCTTGTAGATTTTCAAGAGTGAGAAGAACAGAGTTGCACTGCGATGACCAGACTAATAAGTCATCAACCGAGTAGGAGCTTGGAAGTTACGAGTGATAGTTTCTAGGAAAGAACCCTTAAGTAAGTGTAACAAACAGAAAACACTGACCAGACAATGAAAGACAAAAGAGGCAAAGACGAAGAGGTTTTGATGTTGATCCCAGATAATTAAGCTTCCACAGTATAACTGAGTTGATGATTCAGGGTTTGCAAATCCCCAAGAGCGCTAGCGAGATGAACAGAATTCTTGAACTTTAGTGGTCAGTTGGGTTGGATACGATAATCCTCAAAGTATGAAATCGAAATTGAAAAACTTCAAGAAATCATGCGTTCCACTTAATGTCCCTACTACTTGTTTTCCAGCTGCCTTTAGACCAAATGTAAGAGTTAAACTAAAAAAGGAAAATTAATTATATGTTATACTCCTCCAGTCCTTAATATAAGACTTAATTAACTAATTTGAGTGGATTAAAAATCTTTGTTAAATTAGTTTATATGATATTTTTCTAAAATACCCTAAACATCTTTCTCGATTTGCTCCTTTTCTCTCCTATTGCTATATATCTCTCAGATTGATTAGGGGAGACGTCTTAGGTAATTTAATTTTAAGTAGATTGAATCAATCACACTTGTTTTAGTCTGAAATCATTTAAGTGTTACCTCAATTCTAGGGATTTATATACATTTTCTTTGAAATGAACATATATTGAAAATTTACAGATAAGTTCGAATTATAAAATTTAGTCACCAATAAATCCTATATTCTGCAAATTGTCACAACTCACAAGATGACTTGCCCGTTGAAAGTGTTTAAATAAATTCAGGAGAGGGATACTGCTTCATACCTGTGATAGATGAAGTTACACTTTCAGTCTAGGTTTAGAGATTTTGGAGAGTGATCACAGAATTGCACTGCGATGACCAGATCTGGTAAAATTTCTTAGAACTAGTATCTTATGAAATTCCTACGTAGGACAGGTGGTAGATGTACTGATTTTTTTAACAAGTTCGTTCATTAGTTTGGCAAATAAAATAAAGTAAATCATTATTTAGAAAGTGTTCTGACTTGAATTAGTAGATGCAACTCTTTTTCAGTGTTCGACGTATCTTCACTTATATGTAAATATCTTTTAATTTCTATATACCTGAAAAAGTGTTGCACTTGCCGAGAGGGATTTTAGCAATTTTTCTGCTTTATTTAATAAATAAATAAATGTAAAAATGTTTGAAGAAAATTGAAAAAATGTACTTTAATAAAAGAAAAACGCATATAAAGCAGATAAAACTTAATGATTTGATTCTGTTTCTTTTCTTCAAGCATCATAAAAATTTCTGAGAGATAATGTAAAAATATTTTAATAAAGATAGAACATGTGTCAGAAAAATCTTGAAATATTAACTTATTTATTGTAAAGCTATTTTTCTTCCAAACTCAGGTGCGTACCGTTTCAAAATCAAAATTTTATTCCATGAAGAGCAATCTTTTTACTGCTTCATCTCCAAATACGTAACAGTAAGCTATGAAAGGTAAATTTGAAGATGTAGATTCTGAAAAATAAGAAAGATCAATCGTTGTCGCTTTTTTGCCATGAGATGTAAGCAATTTGCAGCCATTTTTGGACACTAAAGGAAGTATGTACTGTTTTTGAGTGGTATTGTCTATCAGATCTGTGCCATGCAAGTTGAAAGAAGAACAAGTAACAAATGTAATCTGTAAGTGACAGCTCCAGAAAATGAAAGACTAACGAGGGTTTGATTTTCATACCAGATAATTAAGCTCGCGAAATTCCGGGCTTGCAAATTCTCAGAAGCCAGATGAACAGAATTCCACTGCGATCACCAGACTTTTCATGAGCTTGATGAGTCGTCAACTTGGTTGGAAATCATACTGCTCTTTCTTTCTCTCTCTAAAATAGAAAGCAATGATCACAAAATGAAAAACTTAAGAGGCAAAGAAAAATAGATTTTCATATTCATATATCACGTGAACTTGGGTCAGCCCCTCGGTTGGAGCTTGGAAGTGACAAGGATCTTTCTTTGTCCTTTCTAATGGACCCCAAAAGTGTGAAATCAAAGTTGAAAAAGTTGAAGAAATAGTGCGTTTCAGTTAACTGTTATTACACGTGTGGAACTTCTTCTGATATTTACTTTTCTCAAGGTACAATTCTCTGAAATTTCAGAATTCTTATTTTGCATTTGTTTGTACGAAAAATTAATTACTTTTTTAATATCATTTTCAAAAGTTACTGAATGAATGAGTGCGACAGTCTGAGAGAGACGAGAATCCTAATGCAAAACTCCTTCCTATATACAACACATAATATTTTTATATAAAACATCATTATAATTTCCACGGAATAAATTTTATTTTTCATTAATTAATTCATCTTATGCTATTTCTATCTTACTTTTTTTTTTCTGGTCTGCATATATTTAGTGTCATATACAATATTATTGTGGTTTGTGGAATGCTTTTGAATTGGTTTTAATGTATTTAAATATGAATGCTTTGCATTTTAATTGAGGTCCATATATTCCCTCACATCCTTTGGCACTAAAACTTAAATTTGAGAAAATTCAAAAATTGCCTGGTAAAAATAATGATCAAGGTTGACTTTAATTAATTCATGGACTGAACTGAATAATTAATAATATATCTCGTTCTTAGTGCACCGCTTCGTCTTCAACCCAGGTACGTCCCGTTTCAAAATCAAAATTTTATTGATCTGCAGCAGAAATGTTTTACTGCTTCATCCTCAGATACGTAACAGCAACCGGAAAGGTAAATTTCATGTTTTAATATATTTTATAATTAAATAATTTAAATATTTTTTTAATCTTTCTAAATTAATCAATTGGCTTTTATATGAAGGATAGAAAGTAGTACATTTTAAGCATACCGAACAAACTCTTTACTGATATACGAATGTTTGTATATCTTTTTTGACCGAATACGAATGTTTATATATCAATAATGTATGATTACAGGCCAAAAAAATGATATATTCCCAATTGCAGTTGCATCTATTTGATTTATACAGTGGCGGGATCCCATGTCATATAATTTTATATAAAATTTTAATTTGCTCCATTTATTTTATAAGTATTTTCTTACTCATCTAGCCATAATACTGTTAGTATCAATAATATAACGATGATTTTATGTCTCATTAATTATTATTTTAAAAATTTAAACTCAATATGTCAGCATCTAAGAATAATTTGTCTATTTTTAAAATTTTAATGTTGTCATTTTTTTAATAATGTTATTATTAGATAACTAATTTTCACCTTTACCAAAAAAAAAAAGATAACTAATTTTGACAAAAAAAAAGTACCAGATAACTAAAAACGACATTTTTTAAAATTAAAAAACAAAAATAAAAGCTTGTGAGGAGTTAAAAACCTATGATACATCATGTATTATTTTTCAGGCTTTCAGCTACATATTATCCTTTTCACATATCAAAAAGCACCCACTTAGCAGCAATTATCAGCAACCAGCAAGCCACTCATATCATACGTGGAGAATTGATAGTGCTCTTTCGTTTTCCTTTCCTTTCCCTTTCTCTGAAAGTGAACTTTAACTTCACCATCTGAAATCAAAAGGACAAAAAAATCATGCCTTCCGGCACTTGATTGTTATTGCGCGTTTGGGGACACCTTGTACCTGCTACTTGCTTTCCAGGTGCCTTTGGATCAGATGTAAAAGTGAGAGTTAAAAAAAAAAAAAAAAGCAATCTTATGACTTTCTTTTTCTTTTCTTTTTTTGGCAAAATTTCGGAATTTTTATTTTGCATTAGTTTTATCTGGGAAATTAATCATCTTTTTGTTATATCATTTTTTTCAATTTGGTCGGTTCATTTTATAAGGTATCTTTGTAGTCATATAATTAACACTAATATTGTTAGACTCAAAGTCTCAAACGATGATTTTCTGTGTGAATCATTTTTTTTTTCAAAAAATAAGTTTAATATTTCAAAATCACGTTAAAAAAAAAATTTAAACCAGATGAAAATATACCTAAAAGCATTAGAAAGTCAAAGAAATACGCTTTGTAGCTAACGATTGTCCTTCACTCACCCTAGAGGATTAGAGTATTAAGTAACATTACTAGCGTGAATTCCATGGGCTTGATTGTTGGAAACCTTTATTTTATGTTTTTTTGTCATACTTCACTTAATGGAAGAAAATCACCCTACAAGAAAAGCACTACAAAAAAAATAGCTTATTACTGATAGAATTAACAATGAAAAAATTATTTGATCTGTCACTAATTTTGATGGATGGAACTATTCCTAGAGGAGTTTTCGGGTATTCTTCATAATTACATTTCGCATTTTTACTTATTTTTTGATTGTTTTCTTAAATTTTTTTTTTTTGAAGTTATCTTCTGTAGAATGAAATTTTCACTTTACAACAATTTTACAGTTCGTTTATCTATCGCTATTCATTTCTTGATTTCATCAATCTCACGTAGAAAAATAGAGATTTCCCATCAAAGCCTGCAAAGTAGAACGTTGCATATGATCTGGCTTACCTTTTTTTTTTTTAGCGGCCTGCTTGTTATTTTAAATATTAAAATTTAAACTTTTTGATGTACTGTAGCCACTTAGCCCATGTGACGGGAA